GGAATCGTCCTCTAATCCCACCAGTAGCGAACAGGGATTCCGAGACGACGCAGATCGGCGCCATGAGATACGCTAGATTTAGCCGCTTTTTCAAAGAACGTGTGTATCCTACATACAGTGGTGAGCGTGGTCACAGCGCTGCAGTGTCTCCAATGTGGCTTGGTTCGAGCATGCTTTGTCCGAACAGGTGATAACGGCACCTCAGCGGACACCGGGCATTCGAACAATGATACCATTCGTTACCCTTTGTCTCGCCTTTGTCTCGCCTCTTCTTGGGCTCAACAACAAGCATGTGGTCTGTGAGTCGCACTGAGAGCCACAGTAGTACAGTGCAGCGCGTACAAGAACCGTGAATGGATGGATGTATGTGCCGTACCGGTACAGTATGCGGCGAGATCTTGCTTGTGCGTCAAAGTGCAGCACTTTATGCTCACTGCATGTTTGTCACATACAGTACCCGGCGGACGACCCTAGCGCATCGCGATCCAGTCCGAACTTTCGTGTTTGGTGTGCAGAAGGACGACCTGGTGCGGCGAGCCATGAAGGAAGCTTTCGAGATTTGAGCCCTGTACACTCAGACGAACCGTTCTTTGCAGCTGTTGGGTCACGGAGGGTGTCATATTTGCCGGAGACGAGCAAGCTGAGCAGGGTCTTTGTTAGTGATAGCTTGACACGAGCGCTTGCAGTAACAGCTCAGTCCTGAAACGTCCGCCATGCCATGTTGTGCTCACCAGCGTATCTCCTTGAAAGCGGCGACTCTTAGTGGCTGTTTCGCAAGAGGATACACACAATGCCGCTCAGCAATGCTACTGCTGAGAGCATTGGATCGCGACTTCTATGCGGTCTGGCGCTCCAAAGGCAGTGGGACCTCTTGGCACCTTGCCCAGACTGTGGGTCACTGGGTGTCACTGGATGCGTCAAGACTATGTGCCACAAACCTTCACAGCACACATCGGCCTCTTCGTACAAAATTGTGAATGTACAACCCACTACTGCACCTCGAGATGCAGACTGAAGCCTTGTGACTGCATGTCAGCATGTGTGACTGTCCGTGCATGCCGCACTACCGTCACAGTATACGCACGCCTTGGCTCAAGCGTGCGCTTTATAGTTGACCTATGATCCATCAATGCGCACAGGAACGTTGCCATCATGTTCGTGAGAATGATGCCATCCCTACGTGCTCAGACCTGATCAAACGCCTGTACTGCAGAGACGTCGTCCCGGGTGTCGCGGTCACTAATGTGCTGGCAGGTGGCAAGACCAGCCGGCAGGCAAAATACTTGCAGTCTGAGCTCCCGGTCCTCGTTAGCGCAGCGCAGAGCATCGATCTAAGTACCACTGCAGTCTTTATTGAGCCCCGATGGTCCTTTCTACACAGCACCATCTGGCTTTTCGAAGCGTCAGAGCGTCTTCTGAGCTCGCCATGCACAAACGAAATTGCAAATCAGCGCGTGTAGTACATTCACATTCCTCTGTGATCATGCCAGCCGTTTCAAACCCTGATCAGATATCGATACTGATGACAATCTCCTCGCAGCCGACGAGCGAAGCCATCTTGCGGAAGCTGACGGGTCGTCAGGATGAGTTTCCGTGTCGCAGGCGCCCCTGATCGAGGCAGACGAGAGCGTCTTGCCCGGTCGGATGGTGTGTACACGACACGGTCCGCTACGCCACAAAGGAAAGGTGTGCTGCCGGCGCACTGCATGTCTGACTCGCGAGACCCTTCGGAAGGAAGAGGGTGCGAGTGCAATCACGAATCTTGTCGTCACTTTTTGGCTCGCGTTGCAAATCATCCGCGGAGAGAGGTAGCGCGCTCTGCTTGCGCAAGGATTGACTCGTGACTGTCCAGATTCCTTACGAGTCCCTCAGTCACTAGCGCTACACTCAGGACTTGACTCAAGACCCGCGGCTGTGACGTCAGCAAGGCGAACGGCGGACCGTCAAGTCACTGGTGACTGGATAGAGTTTCGCAGAGCGTATATCATGTTGGACAGTCACGCAGTCACGAGCCCGCCACAGTCATCATTCACGATTACCATCGAGTTGGAGTCTTGAGTTGAGTCTTGAGTCAAAGTGAATTAGGAGGCTCCCCTGATGGCGGCGGCGCTGAGTTTTGAACAGAAAGCGTACCCCGAAAACGAGGCTGTGCAGAATCTCACGTGATGAAACACGCTCTGCCATGGCGCCCATCAGGCTGTTGCACGTCTCCTCGCGCGCGGATGCGGCCGCGGACAAAGCTTGATATCCTGTGCGTATGCAGCGCAAGCGCGCGGAGGCTCACGCTGTGTCGGCGGGTGCGCGGGTCATGGAGGGAGGCCGCTTTCCTGCCGGTCATCATGCAGGCCTCAGGGGCCGCGAGCGCGCTGCTCACGCGCGAGCACAGCATGCAAGTGTGAGCCTCGGGGGCGGCTGGACAAGACAACAAGGTTCATACACTCAACTACACATCAGCAGGTGTCATCGTGGATCCTGATCTCCACGCTATGCGCATTCACCGCTTCGCCACACACTTCTAACACTCACGCATTACTCTTGAGGCTTAGCCCTTTGAAGCTTATACTCACACTCGAAGAAGAAGGCAACAGGCCCTGCAAGTGCCAGGCTCGCCCAAGCCCTACCGCCCTATACTCTCAAGAACCGGCAGCCAAGCAAGGAGCTCTACGCAATCTGCTGGACATCTGGTGTCTGTCAGTCTCGCTCGTTCGCCAAAGCTTCTACTGTTCGAGGGCGTATCGGTCCTGTCTTACAGCCCAGGATCTTGTCGGCCGAACGCAAGCTTGTTCGCAAATTGGAGCATACCGCTGGAGATCGATCACGTTGCCAGCTCGCAGCGGACCAAGTTCGTACAGACAGTGGCAATAAGCGGAGGCGGTATAGCGCCTTGGGGAAGTGATGAATTTCATATTCAAAAGCAAACAAAGGACACCGGGGGAGTTGGTGCGCCACCTGCGAGAATCGATAGGGAGATTGGAGACGGCCAGTGCGGGCAGCAATGTGGAGAGCAAACGAAAGGTGAGTGCTGATAGCGCTGGGCGCATTTGGCCCGGCACTGCTTCGACTACCGCGAGAAGAGTCGGCGGCCACCTCCTTCATCAGGCTTGGCGCTTCCCGGGTGATGCTGAGTATTCTGCCTGGGTGCCAACAGGCTGGCGAGGATGTGTCCAAGAATCTCTTCCACATCAAGGCGATACTTTTCGGCGACGGAGGTGAGTGACATGATGACAGTGTGCTTTGCGCGCCTGCTGTGCCAAACGTAGCTGATTGCGCTGTCGGGGACGTGAAGAGAATGAGCCCCAGCCAGAGCAAGTAGCTCAGCTCGCGCAAGAGGTCTACAACAACGACGTGCTCCAGCTCTTGGTGGTCAACATTTGGAGATTCGAGTTTGAGGTGAGTCATAAGGTCGCTCACTATTCTACTGGCGCTCTGCGCGGGCTCACCTTCAGCCCTTTGCATTGTCGTCTTGCACGCTATAGGCTAAGAAGGACGTCTCGCAAATTTTCAATAATCTTTTGAGGCGTCAGATCGGAAGCAGATGGCCCACTGTAGAATACTTGGCTACCAAGCCCGAAGTGATCTTCAGCGCGCTGAAAGGGTGAGCCAGGCTGATTGTCACACAGGCTTCCCGACACTTCGCTCTGACGACGTGCGCGCACTCCCTTGCTGCCAGATACGAGAACCCTGATGTTGCTTTGAACACTGGCATGATTTTGAGGGAGATGCTGAGGCATGAAGTGCTGGCAAAGACTTTGCTGTATTCAGAGAAGTCAGTGATGGATGGTCTGTGTCTCCACAGGACGCTGCTGCTGACTCTCCGAACCGCGCTGGGCTCTGCCGCCAGGTTCTATACTTTCCCCGATCACATCGAAAAGACCACCTTCGGCGTGTCTTGCGATGCCTTTGCCAATTTCAAAGTGCGTGCGCCTGCCCACGACGTGAGCCAAGTACTCCCATACTGACTCATAACCTTCGCCCAAATCACGCTAGGAAACGCTCACGCGACACAAAGCGATGGTCGCAGAGTATCTGGAGAACAATTACGACAAGGTCAGTCTGCAAATTTTGGAGGGGATAACAGAGTATTCAGCTGATTTCTGGTCCATACCCTCTGGTCATCACTAGTTCTTTTCAATGTACAAGGGTCTCTTGCATTCGCCGAATTACGTCACAAAGCGGCAGTCTCTGAAGCTCTTGGGCGAGATTTTGCTGGACAGGACAAATTTCAACGTCATGACAAAGTACATTGCATCGGAGGACAACCTGAAGGATATGATGAATTTGCTCAAGGACAAGTCGAAGAACATTCAATTCGAGGCTTTCCACGTCTTCAAGGTGAGACGGAAGGCAGCGACTCCGCCGAAGCGGACAAGCAGGCTCACTCACTCGCTTGCTACCACTCACAGGTCTTCGTGGCAAATCCAAAGAAGCCGCCCGTCATCGAGAACATCTTGCGTCGCAACAGGGAGCGGCTGGTGCAATATCTGAGCAATTTCCACAACGACAAAGACGGTGCGTGCGCCTAGTCAAGCGTATGGGAACGCAAATTAAGCGTTCGACTCACGTATCCGGCTCGCCTGTGACAGACGAGCAATTTGTGGACGAGAAGCAATACGTGCTGCAGATCATCGAGTGAGTTACCCTTTACCGTGCAGGAGACAGATGTGCTGGTTACTGCTCACATTTCTCGCTTGCTGTCATTCCCGTCACAGATCCACCGGGCAACCCAAGGTGGCGGCAGCATAGCAGCATTGCCTACCAACCAGTCTCGGCACCTCAAGCGAGACTCCCTTTGCATCTGCTTCCCACCATCCACCATCGATTTGCGCTCCTAACGACATACGCTCCCCGCACTCTCCTTGTATCAACAGTCCTTCCGCGCCTCCCCCCTCCTTCCCCAATCGACCGCCTTAATGAGCGTGCTCAGAGCTAGGTGTTCGAAATAGTCTCAAGTAGATTGACACTGAGCCCCCGATTTTTAAGCCTGCGCCGATTCGCCTTTGTGCCTGTCGTTGCGAATCCTTGTCCTGTCATGCAACACGATTCATCGCCCGGTACGTCCTCGATGCTCTGCTTGCGATTGAAAATGAGTAGCGCAACCTTAGCTGCTCCTCGCACAGCCACACATACAACCATGAAGTTTGGCGCACACAGTACTTACTATAGTGTGCTCATCGATCGACCGATGCCGCGTGCCGCGTGCTGCGCAGACGACAAGCAGACCGGCGGGGCGCGTGGCTGGCTGCATGGCCGAGCGAGACGTCAAGAGACATCGCGATAGAAGAGAGAGAGAGAGAGAGAG